TGCAACACTTTCAAAAGTAACTTTTGAGACAGACCCCGACTAAATTTGATTTGACCCAGCAGATATATGTATAAATGCTACATGCCAGTTTACGCGTAAGACCTGAAAATATTTACTACTTTTGTATTTACAAAACTGACAAATGATCAGAATAATACATACTAACTAGGCTAACTGTGACTTATACATTTTCATGGACCAAAGGTTTATCTGTCATAATTAGTAAAAAGATTAAGGAAAGCTGCTAAATGAAGTGAGAGAGATGTCTAAACCATCAGGAGCACACAGAATAAAATTAAATCAGTCGCATTTTATAATCTCCACAGTGCTCTGACAGATAGCTGGCTTAGTTATGGATAATTAAGTAACTGGAGTTTTTGCCAGAGTCCACCCTGTACTGGTCGCCAGTCTGTCGCATGGCTAACACATGATTATAATCCATTGCTTAAAATCCTTTTTAAATAGTTGAGTAACTATGCATTAAAGTGAAGTCAAGAGATCCATAAATACATTTACCCCCTACTGTCACTTAATCCAAGTAGAACTCTTTACTTTGACACACCTTTTTTACTCCAAGAATATCTTCAATAAGAGTAGCAGTCTGCAGAAAGGTCTTCTTGTTTGTCATCAAGGTGAAGAGAAACAGAACAAAGTCATCCCTAGCAGCCAGACTCTTTGTGACGCCCTCCGTCTATGAATTTAAACAAGGAATTTTACACGGTCATTAAATTATGCAAAAATGATTCTGCATCAAGGCAAACAACTGGAAGGGAAAAATATGATATGTGCGGCATATTTTATATGAAAAATATGTAACATGGTACTTACACATATGCAACAGTTGTACAGAACACTAAGGCAGTCTTTGACCAGGTCATCATTCACTGTTGTAACAGAAGCACAAATATTAATCTGACTGTTTCAGGATTATAGGAAAAAAACTAAGAACTAAAACGCAGAAATGCGGACAGATGTTATGGCAGTCCTACTTACTTTTAGGTTTCTTCTTCTGCATAGTTAGTGTAGGTCTCATCAGGATTTCCACTAGAAGCTTTATGAACACAGACAAATGAGAAAACCATTTTATTTCTCCAGTATCTCAGGAGGAGTTGAGCTATACATGAGAGTTTATTCTTCAGAAATAACAGCTTCAGTCCAATAACACCACAAGAATGTAAGACTTACATCAACTCCACCAAAGAGGTCAAAAGTGTACGTGTTGGGGAAGGTGGATTCCTGAGCGGTCTTCCTGTCCTCTGTGACAAAGGACATGGCCTCCACAGACAGCTGGGATAATAATAACTGCCAAAAAAACAGTGGTCACATTACTATTTTCCACACCAGTTTTCAAAGTAAAACACTAAGCAAAAAAAAGAAAAAAAAAGAAGCTAAAACCAGTCATTTCACTGCCTCCTTTGATGGACTAGTGCTATGTGGATACCTTAAGAAAGGTGTGGGCATGGGAGAGGTCACTGTTGGGATGGCTGCTCTCATAGAGCTTCTGCAGCAGAGTAGGGATGCCATTCCACTTGGCACGTTTATCTCTCTCCTGAAGCAGGCCTCCTGGGAGCTACAACACATAAAGAGGCAACATGAGCCCTTTTCAAACATGCACTGCAGTCCTGAACTAGATACTACTTAGAGGAGCAGTATATGAGACTGCAAATGTCAGAATCAATCCAATTAGCACTAAACAGACTTTATCCCACCAGCTCCCTAGTTTCAAGTCTGTAATGTTTGATTAAGTCAATCTGTGAATAGCACAGGTAATTGTTTTGAGAATTCACCACAAGTATATGCTGTCCTGCACATTCTGCTCAGAAACCACAATACTACATAGTACTTTCAGTAGTGAAAAATCAGTCTGACATTTACTGTCCGCTATGTGAGAAGGTCTTCTCATACTTTATTCTAAACTGTATGACGTTTTTGTGAAATCAGCTATACATAGTAAAAATATACAATTTTCTTTTAGACCTTTAAATAAAATTACATCATTAATAAACATAAAAGCAGCGTGACATTGACTATAACACATACTCATAAAATATGTGTGTTGTCAGTCAAATAAATAATAAAATTCTCATTCCAATAGGTTTGCAACTTTCAAAGAAAGAAACATTTTATGAGTACAGCAAGGTAGTAAGCCTTCTTTTAAATGAAACTAAAAAAGCCACACCTTTGATCATACCATAGACTACAAAAGCTAACATGCCCCAACAGAGTTTCTATTTAAACCTTATGAAATCTAAAGTCATAGAGACCTTAAGATCAGAGTCATTGCCTCCCTTGATCACAGGAAACACATATTTATTGTGACATATAAACTTCCTGGAAGAAAAGAACATCTACACAAAAACATTATTGACCAAGTTAAAAATATGCGAAAGAAAGTGTAAATATGCATGTTTTTAAATGTTGTTACCAGAAAACGTCTCACTGAGAAAGAATGAAATAAAAAGTTGAGATAAAAAAAAAAAAAGCATATTTATGCATGACAAACTGACTTTATTACAATGTGTGATATCTTAACTCTGTTTACTCTGGGCAGGTACTGGTTGTGAAAACAGCAAACAAGCCCAGTCTTCCTACTGTCACTTTCACATGAAATGATTTGACCAATTCTTAATATTGCCCCCTTTTTTTATATTAAAGATGATGAAAAAAAAAACAAAAAAAACTCAGAGAGTAATCAATCAAGGCCTAAGAACCTTTCAGGCAATTTTAAACAAAATGATCTGTAACAAAATTTAATGGGTAATTGTTTTGGCCATGCTCCACCAACTTTGCTGAAATTGGGCAAAAAGCTGAAGAATGATCAAATAATTAGCTTTAATTCATGTCTCAGAGGCAGTTCAACCTAAAACACCAAGTGGACTGCTCTGACAACTGAAGGCTCAAACCACAGCACATGACATACCCTCCTTAAAATCTGTTCATGTGTCAGCAGAACTGGCAGGACTCCTGTGTTTTCCCAAATTACAGCAATTCATAACATTCCCTGGACGGCCTAAGAAAACTTGTTTAAAGTCGACGTGTTCAGGGTTATCGGGGGCGTTAACAGATAACGCTGGAAATACCTTGCGTTATTAGAACCTCTACTTAAGAACAAAGCTTCTTTGTAAACGTCATTACGCAGTACGCTAGCTGGAAATGTGACAGTCACGCCACTAACATATGCATTGAAAACAAAAAAGGTGTTAATGGGTTTAATCGGCTTTACAATTTGACGGCTTTTTTTTAGGATGAAACGGGCAATATCATAATAGATATGCATGAGTTGAACGTGTGGAAACACCCGGAGAGCTGCGACATTCGTATGCACGAAGATACGTGAAAATCTAAACAGTTGGCGTAAGCTGTCGCTAGCATTAAATCAAAAACCAACCCTTCACACTTAGAAATATCGTGTAAATGGCACAAAAATAAACCTGCGAACGTTAACATACCTTAACAGCTGTTGTGGCGTACCCATTTAAGGAAACGATAGTTATTGTGGTTAGTGCTGTTACGTAATCACCTGAGCTATTCTGCTGGCTTAGCTAGTTAGCTGTCGCTAGCTCCTTCACTACCATTAGCAAATCTTACTGTCGTTTATACCAAGATTACAGTATTTAGAAAATAAAGTGAGGGGCGCTGTAGAAATATTTACATTATTATAGTCAACGGCCATAAGAACAGTCCGAAGACAACCGACTTTAAAATGTTTTATATCGTACAAAACCTGGCCTCCAATGCTAAGCTAATGTAAAGCTAACAACAAAAGAGCCACTTCAACGGAGCTTTTCTCATACACTTGTAGCAGTGACAGCGTCATTTGGATTGTCAGCGAGCAAAAACATGTTTCCTGGCAATAGGTTGTATCATAGTTTGAAATTGCCAAAGAAAAATCACACCCCGTTATGTTTAGCCTGTTAGTCAAGCCCGAGCTGACAGGAGCGACTACAGCTCCAGCTAGGTCTCTCGGACAACGTCTTCCTTTCAGGCTCGATTCCAAGCGCAAGTCCCTGGTCTCAGTCGATCAACTTTCGAGTGGTTTAACAGTCAAAACAAATGTCGTTTCTCCCACCTGTGTTCCTCGACTGAAGCCCTGGCCGGTGATTTTAGTGGCCGTGAACTTCGTGATGATATTGCTACTGTAGTTTCTTCGTTTTCCTCTCGTACAAGGGGACTCGCACCCCAGAAGCGTCGCCATTATTTCTTCTTCCTGAACTGAACTGTTTGGGCAGGAAGTGAAAGGCTTTGATGAATTATTTGAGGTAATTAAGCGGCATCTGCTGGCAGAGAAGCAGACTCTACGAGCTTGTGCGTTTGGTAATTACGTTCTTATACATATATACCGCGATATATAAACAAATTAAAAAATAATAATTAAAAAGAAATTCAGGCCTGCCATTAATTATTTTTGCGTTCTTATATTTTTTATATATTGCACACAAGCGTAGGCGTTATTGGCGGCGGCTGAATTCTACGGACACTTGAACTACCTTGAACTTACGTTAATTAATCTTAAACGTACGTACTTAAAAGATGAGTTGTTGCAGTGCAAGCTCGGTACAAGTATTCGTTTCACAGTAGTTTCGTGTTTTTGCGGCAATGGTAACCAGCACGACTAAAAAAACATAAGTCATTCATCGGTTTGTGCAGCTTGTTTTCAAAACTCGAAAACTGCAAAACGAATGGAAAAGTGTTGAGGATATTGTGTGCTGATAGCAAGTGTATCGTGAATTCAGTGATCCACTTCGGCACCCAGAGAAAGTGTTTCTCTTGCTTTGCCTCTGCAGTCTAACACGGATGTCTTTGCACTTTTAAAGCTGTGGCTACATGTCTCTATGAGTGTACTATACGTGTGTGGCTATGCATGTGTCAGTACAAGAGCATGTTTTTCATTTTTTTATGGAATAGCATAGCAAATGGACTTTAGCATGTTCCCCTCGAAGTTGTTTGGTTATTTCACAGAATCTGCACATGTGTTACATAAATTATATATTTTTATTGGATTCCAATGACACAACCATGATAACAATCATATTCCAATAATATTAACACATAATATGACATTCAACCTGCAAGTACACATTAGTTTATAAATTAAAAGATACATTCAATGTTTCGGAGCCAAATGAGAACACATTTCTCAAAGCTCCTCTGTATGCCTCTTTGGACACACATCCACAAAAGCAGTCCTCCAGCTCATATAGTTTGCAGTACTGCATATCTCCACACAGCGTAGTGTCTCAGCCCTCTCGCTATTCCAGGGCAGTCTCTAAAGACTGCACTTGGGCGTGTAGACGGCCTCTTCCAGTGGGATCCCCAAGCCGCAGCCGATGAATTACAGAGTCTCACTCTGCAGTCTTTCCTCAAGTGTCCCAGCAGCTGTTTTCGCCGGCCTCGGTCATTTGGAGGTAGGAGTAAATAGCCTCCCTGAGCCCCTCGCTCACCAGAGAGTGGTCTGACACTGTCCTCTTCCTCTTTAAGATCACCGATCTGGAGGGGACAAAGAAGAATTTGAGACTTCAGTGAGGAAAGTGATGTGGTAACTGAATCCATTGGAGACTGCCGTTTCAACCTGCACATCCTGCTCTACATTTGCAGGCTCCACACATTCACAACTGGCACGTACCCACTGTAACCACAGGCCTATCTGTTGGCATGTCTGCCGGTGTTGTTTACACACTCTTCACACCAGTTTATTCAGTACATTACTGCAGTGCTGAATCATTATCTTTCTAACAGACTGTCAACATAAACGGAAAAGGCAGATCTTGATGCTAATCTAGGAAAGACAGCGCATAAAAATGAGTCACAGAGTGACATCTTATGGAAGACATCAGTACAAGTAAATCTAGAGCGAGCCACACCTGCTGATTTCCTTCCATTTGATGGTGGGCCTCCTGGTCGTTATTGGAATAGGCCGGGCCTCTTCAGCATTGTCTAAACCCTGGATGAAGCAAGGCATTGCCAGCCGACAGCACAATCCATCTGCGGTCTCTGCAAAAGAAGGAAACATTTTAGCATCGATCTTTTCAAGGGCTTTAGTGTTAAAGCAAAATAGTCTCAACATTAATACGAACCTGAATAGTGTTCCACCATGCAATGCAGGGTGGAGAAAGTCAGGCTTGGAGATATGTAGACCCATCCATTCGGGAGGGTAGAAATGCGGTAGTGCTTCACACAGTCCTGGTGCGAAGAGCTGGTTCTCCTCAGGATAGATAGCGAGTAGGAATCTAAATAAAGAAATAACACACAGATGCAGGAATTAATAAAATATGCCAGTCTTAGTTGTTAACCATAGTTCCAGTTGTTTCTGAAGCAAACTAAATATTTCTACTGAGCTTTACAGTATAGTCTGTAAATAGCTGTGCCTTCAGTAGAAATAGAAATAGCAGTTTAAGGGCGATTTTGCTTAAGGAAATTATTATACTGGATTCAATGTCTGATGATGAATACTCCATAAATAAATAAATTCATATACATGAACAATAACAATCCTTTATACATACTTAATAAGTGTAACAAGCCATCACCACTTTTAGAAGTACAGAAGAAATGAAAATGAAAATAACTGGGTAGGAAATACTCCTCCCCAGCAAAGCTAGGCTAAGGGGAAATGCAACTTCAACTGAAGAAATTTCAGGGTTCCTAGCATGACGTTGGCCTCGGACTGAATGGTAATGATAAATCTAACAATTAACAAAGGGGGAATAAAAAACAAAAAACAATAAAAACCTCTAACCTCTGCTTGTCTCTGACTCTCGAATCAAGAAGGCTCCATTCTGGTTATTAGGACGCATGAGCAGCTCCACTGCTTTGTACCTGCTGATGCCTTTGAACAGCCACCTGCATAATAATAATTAAAAAAATGCACATTCAGAACAGTAAGATGAGAGGACAATGTCATATTTTACTGTTAGGAAAAATCCAGTGGAACAACATCAGAGCACATTCACCACTGGAGGAGGACTGAAACTGCAGGAGGGAGGAGCTGATCATGTCACCGAAAAAGAAAAGCTCTGTTCCAAACATTTGTCTCCACTGAGGTAAAAGTTCACCTACACAGGGACCCCTCCCACCTCTCAGGGAACTCCCCGCCACCCCTTTCATTTCAACTCCTCCGACTTTTGTCACGCACAGAAAAATGTGACAAATCTGCTAACACGGTCCTTGTGTCTGTACCTGTCAGTAACTCTGGCTGTGTACTCGATAGGGACGTAGCTCTCCCGGCCTGTCGTTGTGGATCTCACCATTATGAAGTCCCCGTCACTGTGAGTTAAAATAAATACAGAAATAAATAAATGACACTCATCACTAATTGTAGCTGAACATTAAAACTGAAACATTAAGAGCAGTAATACATACTCTGATGTCATGGTCAGTCTTTCCCCAATGCACATGGTCAGTTGTGTTTCTCCAAATGATGGGTAATCAACAAGAGACACAATCACGGTTTCTGGGCTCTCTGCACAGATAGAAAGGAAGAGATATTTGATTTTAATCTTGCCTTTGGCTAATTATACATACATACATACATACATATATATATATATATATATATACATATATATATATATATACACACATACATACACACACATATTTCTGTCCTGGGATTAAACCTACCCATTGACTCATCTGGGTTTTCAAAGACTGTCAGGTTGGATTGGCATCTGGTGAGGCAGGTCCCCATTGTCTGTGGTTTTCTTGCTAATTTGAAATGTCTACTGCTGCTAGGGGGGGAAAATATAGTGTTATTATGAAATCGCCTTTAGTAGCACAAATTCATAATTGAACTGCAAATGTAGTTCATGCATTGGCATTGTGGTATCTGTAAAGCTACTTAGAGGTGCAGGATATTTTTTTAGGACATCTGAATCCGGGCAACAAAACCAGAATACAGGAAGGCGCCTAACCACAACAAGAGGTATGATATCCTGTGTTAAATTTCCAATGCAATACTTATGTGAGAACTATGGTCAGTTTCTCAAATGCAAAGTGAGATGAGATTTTACTTCTGCGGTAGCAGCAAGGCAGGAACATATCTCAAACTAAAACACCGTAACTAACCACTCCATTTCTTTGCAGTGCATGATCATCACTCAGTGACAAAAATTCAAAGGAAATTTAAGCATAATTTCCTCGTTGTGAAAGTGAAGTCCTGGAACAAAAGGGGGGAAAGAAAAGCATATTCTCACCTTTTTCAATTCTTGGATGAAAAATGTCCCTCCAGAAAATATATTCCGCTCAATTAGTTAGACTCCTTTCACGATAACAAATCAAATCCAAGTCTTCCCAGTGAAAAATGTTCTTCGGCCTTCAGCACATCCAATGTTGCTTGGGCAACGTGTAGTACATGTATAAGCTCAAGTTCCTACTCAGGCACGCTGCTCATTCAGTGTGTTCCTTGCTCTGATCAGTTACCACGAAGACTGCTGTGTTTGCGCAGCTGTTTATCGCGTGGGCTCACTGAAGAGAGGAAGCTTCCTGCCTGGCTTTTATACATGCGGCTTAACTGCAACTTCCTGTGACGCTCAACAGTGACATAAACTACCTCAAGTTGATTTCTCTGATGCAGGCTGTTTTGAAGAGGCACCAATTGTGCGCTTGTTTATGGAATGAATGTGTACGTCAGTGAAATTTGTCATCCCCATGTACATGAACCCTGTGGCGCATTGTGGGTTGAAGAGGTGTCATCAGTTTACAGTGACAGTTAATGTAAAATAAGCTTATACTGGACAAACTATCTGAATTTCTGTATTTTGAAATGTGCGGAAAAGGGAAAACCGTGGAGATGTTTTCGCTCTTTACATTATTATCCATCATGTTAAGATTCCAGTTGTTGCTGTGAGATAAAAGACAAACTTCTGCAGAATCAGGCGGTTCCACTGCCAACCCACACGTGCCATGATTTCTCATCCATCCACCACAGTGACAATGCAGAAACAGCCCACCAGTGGGGTCCTGCTCTTTTATACATGTAAGTGTGAAAAGGTGAAAGGCAATCCAGATTATTATTTTTTTTAAATTGTCACGAATTCTGTAACTGTGTAGCTCTACTGCTTATGAAACCATGAGAGGGTAGGAAAGAAAAGCATGTCTCTGTTGAAAAAACACAAACCAAACCAGTCGTTCTTGGAAATATTAATAAAACCAAGATAAAACTGTCATATCTCCTTGTTCTGTGTCTTAATCAGATGTACTCTGAGCTGCTTCAGACGCAAATGAGCAAGTGTACCCTGCACGGAAACAATACAGCAAGAACAGATCAGATTGGTGCTGAATCACCAGAACAGCCTGTTAGCACAGATGGAAAGAACTTTGTGCTCTTTAAAAAAAAAAAAATATCTGAGATTAACTCATTCCAAACCACTGATGTACATCTTTCTCAAATAGAAACTGAAAAAGGGTCACTAAATAGTGCATATTTCCTGTGTTTTAGTCAACTCGTGTAAAAAAAATAATGCAATGATCAGCCCGCCTCAGCTTCTCCGAGTACAACCTCAGTAAATGCACCACAGATGTCGACAAAAACAGGGCATTCGTCATAATGGGGTTTATGCATGTCATCACATTATATTCTATGCAAAAATGCTTGGAAAGCTCCATCAAGTAAGGGCAATTAATAATTAGCAACAGAGCTCCCACAATCATTACAGTAAGCACGTCCTCAGTGTGTGTTATGATTAGCATATTAACACTATTTTCCCATTCTGCTTTGTTTTCAGAAATCATCATCTTATTTACAGAGCAGCTGATCATTGTTTTTGTAACATGTGTTAAATATAGACCACCTCGTCTGTGACAGCAGAAGTTATCTCTCAGAAACAAAATAAGAAACAAGAGCGGTTGGAAACTCACTCACCACAGCCACCGCACTTTTCCACTAACGGGAGAGCCGATGTATGAGAACGCTCTGCTCGCAGACGCGCTCTTTCTGTCATTCATTCGATTAGGTTGCACGCTTGTTCACAAGCCGTTGGTTTAGCAGAATTATTGGTAAAAGCACTGACAAATAAAAACAAGACACGTTCTCGTATCTTTATTCAGTAGTAATATAAATGAGCTAACCAGCAGACAGTGAGAAGCACCACATGGCCCCTGATGGAAGGGACTCATACTTTTCACATCAGATCCCACTTGTTGAAGGTTGTTAAAACAACAATGAATATACTAGTCAACTGAACAACATCAAAAAAAGGGGAAAAAAAGCAAATTAAAAAAACATCAACACAAAGCAGAAGGGAAAATGAAATGCTGGGTTGAGTTAAAAAACCAAACAAAGTCAAATTACTTGAAGTGAAACACAACTGAAAGTTCAAGAGCAGCTCTACATTTAACTTAGCTGGACTTACAGTGTGCTACAGTATGCAATGCTACTTGCACGCATCATCCACATCACTTTCTATGCAGCTTTATTTCTGCAAATATTAAGTGATCTCCTGCTGTGCGTTGTATCTAATTTGCATTGCAGCTAGTTTGACAATAAAGACACACAATCATGATTTACAATCGATGTTAGGAGTTAAAAAAAAACCAGTTACTTTGATTTCTACACTGTGTGAAGACATTTGAAACAACGACAATGTGAAAAAAAATAAATACAGGACTGGACAGCTGAGTCATATGGTCAATCATATGGTTTTTGAATATACAACACATCTGAATGGAGTTATGGTTTCTGATAGGAATGTGAGTTTGACAGTGTATTTAATACAATATTTTATAATATGGATCTGTTAATATATTTATTACATCCTCCTTTCTAATCACATAGATCATTATAGATCTTCCTAGCATTGAGCTGCTTAGGATGAGAGAGAGAGAAAGTTAGAGAGACGTGGAGAAGGGACATAAGTTACTATGGGAGAGTGCGAGGTGGGGGCGGATTGGGGGCTTAGCAGGAGACCTCCATGGTCTGGGGCCCGGCCTTGCTGTCCAGGCTCCCGGTGGTGCCGCCCTCCAGCAGGCTGTTGATGTTGCTGCGGCTGCGACTGTTGTCCATGGAGGTGATGCTGGAAGAGGAGGTGGTGCGTGAGCGAGCCAAGCGAGTCATTCCTGCTGAAGGTACTGAAAGAGAAACGCGCGTTAATATTCCACTCACACGGCCCACAGACTCGGTGCAGCGTGGGAATGCAGATACCGTGACACATCAGCAACAACAACAACAACAACAACAACAGGAAACAAGTGCTTAGCATGCAAACTGCTCTCATAAATGGAGACTAATCAAATCAAATAATCCACAAATGTGCTAACAGTAAGTACAGCAGCAGCACACCGTATTTGCAATCCAATGGAACTGACAGGAAGCAACAGCGGCAGCTCATGCAGTAAACTAGGACACTCGGGGCATGCTGAGTGGGAGTGAGGTGAATGTCATCAGAGTATGCAAAGGGTGCAGTATGCTGACTGTATCCACAACCCAGAGCTGCTGTTCCAAATATTAAACAGTGCTCTCTCGAGAACTTCGTGCATACATTGACATTCATCCACTGTACTGTTATGAGGCCACTGAGTTCAAAGCCTCGTCATCTGGCAGCTACTTAAAAACCTGGTACCTGATTCGTTGCTCAGGTGACTGAGAAGAACGTAGGGAACTTCAGGCAATGATTAAAGAGGGAAAGAAAGGAGAAAGGGAGACATGTTGAAAAGCAAGCTCTTCGTGGTGCTTTGCCACACCTCTGTGTATTTCGCAGCAATTTTTGTAGACAAATAGCTGTCATTTGTTTGCTAGCAACAGCAGGTAAGAAATGAAGACATGCATGCAAGTTATACCGTACACTTGAGTTCCTGAACTTTCTGGCCGTTTCCCTTTGCATTTCACACTGTGGCAATGTGTTAATGAGGGAAAACCAGCTTTCAGAAACATGCTGAGGTGTTAAGATTTTTTTTCCACACTTTCACTGCATGAAAACACTCTTTTTAATCTGCTCTAATCCTGCAGTGGCATTTACTCAACAGGAGCACTTGGTGGCCTTTAAGGTAAAACCCAGGCTCTGGCACACTAGATACACATAGCTGCCCTCCTACAGTGAATGGCCCGGGAAAGAGAGAATGCAAAATAGAGTTGGTGTTACAGAATGACACACATAGACAGCGATCATCTGTGCAGCTGGTAAAAGCAAAACTACATTCATCTGTCCATCGATCAGAGTCTTGGTTGGTGCATAGCAAGCCTGTAGGGTCTTCTAGAGATGTGTTTGTGGCTTTTCTGCTTTTTATGTTTTTATTTTGTTTTTTTAACAAATGAATGACTGTAAAGATAAGATAAGATAAGATAAGATAAGATAAGATAAGATAACCTTTATTAGTCCCACACGTGGGAAATTTGTTTTGTCACAGCAGGAAGTGGACAGTGCAAAAGTTATGACGCAAAAATTAGAATACAATAAGAATAAATACAGTAAAGCCTGAAGGCCTGTTTAACCATGCACATTGAGTCTCTTTTGACAAACACTGCATCATTAAACAGTTCAGATAGAAAAGAAAACACACCAGGCAAAAAAAAAAAAAAAAGGGCAATTTTTAACGCCCACTCTGAACTGAACAGGAAGAAAATTGCTGTTCAGCTCACAGAATGTGATCGTCATTTCTAGAAGCACTAACACCTCACCTACTGAGGCTGGTGGGTGCCACAGACTGCAAAAAGCAGAGAGGAAATGGTGTTAGCATCCATTGAGCCACGTGGGCTGCCTCTCCGTGAGCAGGGTGACCAAAAAAAAAAAAAAAAAAAAAAGCAAAACCTTTCTTTTCACGCTCTGCAGGCCAATGTCCGAGGGGGGGGGAGAGGAGGTTAGCAACAGCTCGCTGACTGCATTGAAAACAAGTCTCAATTAAGTAACTTTTGTCATTGCACTCACGTCAACAGGAAATTCAGTGGAGCGCCTGGGCCACAAACACGTCAGTTCAAACAGGTATTAGTCTGTAAACAATTCTTGGACACTGACTACTAGCAAGCCAGTTTAAACCAGTTTAGAGTTAGATCTGTTTACCCTTCAGGCACATACAAAAAAACCCCAAAACAAAACAAAAAAACAAGAGCATCTTCACTTACTGTAGCCCATGCCCTGGACAAAGTACTTGAATGCCTCAGCAAGTTTTCCTGGCTGCAAGAGAAAAAAAAGTTAGAAGATCGTGTTGCTCCAAGAAAAGAGCAAGATGACGTTCACGTCTCTCGATAATTTAAAAACAAACAAACAGACAAAAAAACCCACCTGCACAACCTGGGGCAAGCCTCCACAATCAGCCATCTGAGAGGACATTATCAGTCTCATCAATAAATCACATTTATAAATATGAATATCATCTCATATGTCAGAAATTGCAGTGCAGAAGCATCACCTTTAGCAATGTAGTCTTGGTAGGATTTAACCTGGAATTGCACTCCACCTGCAACATCAAAGACAGGCAAACACTGAGTGATGAAGAACTGCTGCTTGTTGGCATAACAAAT